TGCCTTTGCAAGCCTTTTGAGAATATTGCCTGTTATTCGACTTTCTCCTCTCTGGAACGACAAAATCACGACGCCAGCATAAAGAGCTCTTCAAGACCTTTCCAACGACACCAAGAACGTTGACATCGGAGCAGTCAGTCAAAAGTTATAAGCAAAAAACGAAAAGTAAATGCTTGCAGGGGTTAAAGTCAGGGATAATTGTTAGGGTTAACGGGGATTAGGGTTAGTGGGGGTTAGGGTTAGGTGGGGTTTAGGTTAGGGTTGATTAGGGTTATGGTTAGGGTTAGTGGGGTTAAGGTTAATGGGGGTTAGAGTTAATGGGGGTTAGGGTTAGGGTTAATGGGGGTTAGGATTAGGGTTAGGGTTAGGAATAGGGCTAAAAACGAAGATGCCAGAATTATCAAAGAATTATTTGTGTCAAAACAACTCAAATAAATATTAAATGCAAAGATTAACCCTCATCTTTTGAATGTAGCTGCGAGACTAATCCTAATCAGTCGTAAAATGCGCAATACTCAGTAACTATAACCTAAATATCTTGGGTGGGCGCTGGACTAATCAAAATCAGTCGTGGATTAGGCTTACCCCAAATCTCTCGGGTGGGTTAGAAGAAACACATTATCAATCAAATGGTATTCAAGGACTTATCAGTGGAGTAGTGTGCTAGGACTAACTCTAATGCCTCTAGTGGGTGAAAACAATTAGCAAAATCAGTAAAAATTGTATACACTAGACGAATACTGACTCCAAAGATTTTGAAAGCAGAGCAATGGCATGACGTAAGACTATTGTGATATCATAAAAATTGATTATCAGACTTTGGTGCATAAGACCTTTGCATTTAAGCGCACGTGTCTCATAGGAAACAAGCCATCAGGGTTTGATGGACCATCGCACTTTGGAATCTTACATATCTAAATATCTAATGCTACTTCAGATGATTTTTTGTATAAATATGAACAATAAAATGCCTTTCCTGCTTTGTTAGAAAGGGAATTAAACAATAAACAGTTATTGCAGAAAAAAATACACAATCTACTAATGTGGGTTATACATTTTTTCTGCAACAGCTGCGACATTATTTCTCAAAATAACAACCAAAGAAAACGTTTCATTGTTTAAAAACATTATATGCTGATGTGAGGATTGGACACCAAGTTTCTAGGACTATTCATAACATTCATTGTTAGATTTAAAGTTTTATTTTCATTATTTGTCCAGTGGATGAAAAAACAATTTTATCATAACAGGAAATTTCTCATCCACTTAAAAAAACAAGACAATATTTATATATATATTAAAAAAAGATTTACATTTAGAATGGAAATTAAACTGAAAAAGCAAGAAAAAAACAGAAGTTCTTAATCTAAAAAATATTCTCATTATATTGATTGTTCTGGCTTATAATACAAACATAAATATCAAGCTGAAATGCATATATAATGTTTAATTATAATATATTTAAACTGCATTTCAAGAAACAATGTCTAGCCCTACTGTATATATATACATAATACTATTTCTGGACTATCCCTTTACTTTTTCTCCTCTGGGAGGACATAACCTTTACACACGACTGGTCCCTCCTTGTGGAGGAGGAGAGCGGCCCAGACACAGATGTCCACCACCTTCCCCTTCCTGCCATGGTGAGAAAACAAGTTCTTGTCCATGGTTTCACCTTTCTGTGGGAAGACCAGTTCCATTGGAGGATCCTGCATGCACATGTACCAGCAGAGCTCTACACACTTACTGACGTAGGTAACCACTCGCTCATCCTGACGGGTCTTCTCATCAGGTAACAATTCACTCAGCTTTTGTTGAGTAAATACCTGTTTTCATGAAAGAAGGATATGGGGATAACTAACAGTATTCAAACACAGACCTCCGAAACATCAGAGGTGGGATTAGGTGCCATGGAGGAGCATGAGTAATTCAATTTGTTACAAATGCTAATATATGAATCCAACACTTTGCTGTAAGCTAGTAGTGTTTTGCAAACATTAATTTGTTGTAAAACATTGCACAGCTGAGGAATGATCATTTGAAAAAACACTTTGCTTCTTCAAACAAATAAAAATCAAATATTGGCATGAAAAATAGTCAGTGACTTAAATGTTTCTTTAAGCGAGTCAATGTTCTTACCCAATTGCCTAAGGAGTAAATACATGTATATTCCTACCTGAACCTGTAGTTTTGCTGACTCATTAGAAGCTGCCTACTAGATTGTATGTATCTGTACCTGCCTACACAAGAACAGTGTGTCATTATATCCTTATCTGGCCATGTCTACAGGGGTAAATGTACTCCTTGTTGAGTCTTTGATTGTCTCTCAAGAGGCTGCCTATAGGAGTAAATATGTCCCTACCTGAGCCAGCCCAAAGGAGTATGTATTCATTCCTATGTGAATCTGTAATTTGGTTGTCTCTCTGGAAGCTGCCTTTATTAATAAAGGTATTCTTATCTTATTCCATAGTTTGGATATCTCTCTAAAAGCTGCCTAAAAAAATGATATTTCCCTACATAAGCATGCCTACAGGAGTATATGTATTCTTATGAGAAGGATATGGAGAAAACTTACAGTATTCAATCTCAACGTCCATTAAACAATATACAAAATAAGAGCAGAGCAAACACAAACCCCCAAAACATCAGAGGTGGGATTAGGTGCCATGGAGGAGTGAGCATCCCCTGCCGACCGGTCACACCTGCCGTGTGCTCCTTGTCATGAGCAGAAAATAATGGAAAAAATCCGTTGTCAATTCAGTGTATAAATAATGGACTAATTTCTGAACCTTTATACATGAGTAAATGCATTAATTCCTACCAGAGCCTGTTTCCTTAGATGATGCCCACAGAAGTATGTATATCTACCTGAGCCTGTAGTTAAGCTGTTTTTTTAGATAATGCCTCTAGGCCTGCCTACAGGAGTATTCCTACCTGTGCCATAAGATTAGCTGTCTCTTAGATGTTGCCTACAGGAGTATTCCTAGCATTAGTTTAGCTTTCTCTTTGGATACTACCTACAGGAGTAAATATATTCCTACCTATGCCTGCTTACTGGAGTATTCCTACCTGATCCATTAGTTTAGCTGTGTCTTTAAATGCTTCCTGCAAGAGTTTTCCTACCTGAGACATTAGTTTAGCTGTCTCTTTGGATGCTGCCTTTCTGATTTCCTTAGCATGCCTCTCCACCACCTGATGTAGTGGAGACTTGGTCTTCTCACCGGATTCTCCACTCTCCACTTTACCATCTCCACCTTCATCTGGTTTGGGATCAACATCCATTTTTTCCTCTTTATTTTCTGATTTTGTTTCTTGATTCTTCAAACAGAAAGAACAGTAATTTTCAACTTAATCAGTGTTTATAATTCTGAACTAGATGTATAGAATTATCCTCAAAACCCAACATTTTGTAAAGATGTGAACCAAACAACTGTGCTGTACAGCATAATCTCGGGTAATTTACTGTGTCATAGCATCAACATATTACTCACTTTCTGTATTATCTACATTTACTTACTAACACTTATCGCTGTACCTACATGCAAATTACTTCGAGTTGCAGTATCTACATGTAACTTACTTGTGCTGTGTCTTGTTTAAGGGCTTCTATCATATGGTTTTCCAGCTTCTGCAATTGCTCTTGAGATTTTTCTTTACAAAAACTAAAAACATCCTAAATTTAAAAAAAAAAGATGAGCTAAATCATTTCATCAAAAATCATTTTAACCATGTCAGTGTTACTTCAATAAATCTATTTTTCAGATTTTTTCACATCACAAAAATTTTCAAGCTGAAAATTTTTAGTGTACAATTTTTTCATGTTTCAATATAATGTGCAAACACTTACACACTATTTACATACTGATCGTATAGCCAGACTTTTGGACTCTATCTGTACCGACCTTTACAATCATTTGTAGAAGTGTCAGTGTGTTTGGATAGATTTCATCCTCATCCTCTTTTGTGGTTGGTTTTAAAGCCTCAAATGCCTCTGACCACTCATCATCAAACAGCTGACTGTACATCTCCCCTAATCTGGTGGGGCGATGGGTGTCACTCAGGTCCGCGATGTTAGGGTTACCCTCGGTCAACTGCTGGCTGGCAAATCTACTCAACCTGACAAAAAAAATCACAGAAAGCTAGAAAACTTAAGGTACATGTCAAATTATAATACCTTTATTAAGTGCCTATAAGCTTAACTTTTAATGCAATGGCCCCATTTGCACTTTCATTCACTTTAATGAATATGAGGTCTGCAGGTTTAAATAAATTCAATCATATGAATATGACTTGAACATTGCAAAAAAAAAACTATTATGTTTTGATCTTAACAACCCTTTACTGATTCCAAAATTAGGATATATATTAATTAATTGTGGCGTTGGTAGCCTAGTGGTTAAGGTGCCAGACTCCAAACCGAAAGGTTGTGAGTTCGAATTCTGGCCGCAGCGAGTCGACGTTGTGTCCTTGGGAAAGGCACTTTACACGAATTTCCTCACTCCACCCAAGTGTAAAAGGGGTACCTGGCTATAGACAGTGAAAGATATTGTCAGAATGGTAGTGTTCTAGCGCTGATTACGGCAGCTTGCACTGAGAAAGATTCTGGATTGTTAAGGTCTGCTGGGGTAATAATGATTGTAAAGCGCTTTGAGTAGCATTTATGCTAGAAAAGCGCTATATAAATCCAATCATTATTATTATTATTAATTCAATTCTAAATAAGGACTGCTAAGAAAGCAGGTTGATGGACACTTTAATTCCATTAATGAAACATTACTAGGATTTTCCCCCCAGATTAGAGGAATTTCTGTTTCATGTTTGATTGCTCTATAATAGTATTCTTCAATCCAGAAAAAAGATTAAAATTTGAATGAATAGCAAATTCAAGGTTTGACCTAAAGATCAACTAACCATGCATAATGCATTTTTGATTATTAACCCTTGTGAACCTGTTAACTTGTAAAAGTTTAATTATTATTTAATTAAAATACATTAAGAATGTATCTGTACCTTGTAGAGAGCTCCTCGACTTCCTGGGTCTTCTTCTGAAGATCTGTCTGCATGTTATGAAACTGTCTTTTCTCTACAATAAGATAAATGTTTCTGTCTGGACCCTGCAGAGAAACGGGAAAGTATGGTTAATATATAAATGGCCATCATGGATTTTCAGAGAATTTTGCTCACTTTCTGTATAATCCTACTGACTGACAGACAGATGGACAAAATAATTATAGCTATCCCTAATAACTACTTTCAATAAGCTAAATGGTAGTTGACTTTTAATTAAAATTGTAAATCAGAAGTAAAATAGAAAAATATCATTTGTTCCTATTTTTACCATAAAATTTGCATTCAAACAATTTCATTTGTATCATTAAGTCTAGCTCATTTTAAGTGTACTGCAAAATCTTTTAGCAAAGTATTTTTGAAATAATTAGAGTGGTATCACAAAATCTAGGCTATTTCAAGTGTACTCCAATTTTTTTTTAGCTAAACTGTTTACATTAGCTTTCCTGGCGAGATCCAGTAGATTTTCAGCTATCAGTAAGGTTCCATACTCCCTCCAGATGTCAGTGTAGCTGTCATCGTACGTCTCCAGCTTCAGTTTCACCAGGTACCTGTACAGCGCCCTCTCTCTCACTGACTCAGGAACCTCGTCTGGTTTACTCATATTGACCGTCACTTGTGGTAACAAATACTGGGGATAAAATAAGATCACTGAATCACAATGCCAAAAAACATAACACTTCCTAAATGAGCTTCCATTCACAGACAACATGTCATGATCTTGATCCAAGGTCATATCTATAAAATTAATACTTTGAAAGTGAAAGTAAAAGTGAATCATCATTTTAACTAACAGTCTGGGGAAATGTACTCCTATAAGAGATTTACTTACAGCTTGGGGAAATGTACTCTTACAGGAGATTTACTTACCGCCTGGGGAAATGTACTCCTAAGCACGGCCTGACAAGTAAACATGTGGACCAGGTCCTGATATGCTTCTTCATATTCCTCTGAGTCTTTGTTCATCTCTTTCTCCAAAAGTTCAAACAAGGTCAAAGTTTTTCCCTGTAAAATGGATAAACAACACATAGGAATGTTCAAATTTCTATAAAGGGCAGATAATATCTAACAAATGCCTTACATAAATCATGACAATAAGAACTAAATCTATGTTTTTATAAATAAACATAGGTAATCAGAGATTATAAAGCTCACCTTAACGAATGTTGTCTTTAAGTAAGGCAAAGTCACACAATTAACCAACAAAATGTGTACATTCCAAAAATGAAATTATTTAAGCAATTTTGATCTGATACTTTCAAATAGACCTACATAAACAATTTTAACTAGTTCTTCTCCATGAAAATGTAATCAAAATCCAGCATCTGAAGCAAATTTGAGAATTTTCATCTCTTGATGAAAACTTTAACCTGTTCACTCAACCGCAAAATGTAGGTCAGATTCAGCATCCGAAGCAAGCCTGGTAGTGTGCATCCTTAGATGTATCATCCATGCAAGTTTGGTCAACATAGGGCTTATAGTTACTTGGAAATGAAACCTGCACCAAAAACTTTAACCTGATCACTCAACCCCAAAATGTAGGTCAGATTCAGCATCCGAAGCAAGCCCGGTAGTATGCATCCTTAGATGTATCATCCATGCAAGTTTGGTCAACATAGGACTTATAGTTACTTGGAAATGAGACCTGCACCAAAAACTTTAACCTGTTCACTCAACCGGAAAATGTAGGTCAGATTCAGCATCCGAAGCAAGCCCGGTAGTATCCATCCTTAGATGTATCATCCATGCAAGTTTGGTCAACATAGGGCTTATAGTTACTTGGCAATGAGACCTGCACCAAAAACTTTAACCTGTTCACTCAACCGGAAAATGTAGGTCAGATTCAGCATCCGAAGCAAGCCCGGTTGTATGCATCCTTAGATGTATCATCCATGCAAGTTTGGTCAACGTAGGTCTCATAGTTACTTGGAAATGAAACCTGCACCAAAAACTTTAACCTGTTCACTCAACCTGAATATATAGTTCAGATTCAGCATCCGAAGCAAGCCCGGTAGTATCCATCCTTAAATGTATCATCCATGCAAGTTTGGTCAACATAGGGATTATAGTTACTTGGAAATGAAACCTACACCAAAAACTGCACCAAAATGTTAACCTGCTCCAAAAACATTAACCTGGTCATTCCTTTGCTGAAATTGCAGCATCTGAAACTTTGACTGGTACAATGAAACACACTAGAACCATCTTCCATGCATGTCTAATCAATATAGGACATAGAAGTACTTAAAAAGAAAACTGCTCCAAAAAACTTAACCTTAACCTGGGACGCCGACGCCGACGTGGACGCCGACACCGACGGTATTACATAAGCTCCCCCAACTTCGTTGAGGTGAGCTAAAAATGCATATGTTGAATTACATTAAGTTTATTTTTATTCAGTTTCTCAATAAAATCATGTAAGAATGATAAAAAATTGTATATTTATTCATGAACTTGACAGCATAAAAGAAATAATTTTTCTAAATATCATGAAAAAGTGTATGATTTCTAAACAGTTTAGAAATATGACATATTTTCGTATCATTACAACCATTAGTAAGTCAGAAATTATACCAATCCCCAGACTGAATTGAGAAAATATTTTGAGATAATTTGTAGATATACATGATATAATATGTTACTTTGATCACAAACCTGTTCCTTCTGTTCTTGTTCAGCAGTGCTCTCCTGTGTAGGAGGAGCTGTAGCTGGTTCCTCATTAGCTTTCTGTACTGGTGGCTGTAATGTAAATTTACAAGTTCATTAATTAATCATTACTCATGTGTATTTAAGCCAATAGGTTATTGGACAGTCCAGTAAGTATCAAACAGTTAACTTCATTTATATTTTAAATTGAATGGGGAAGGGGGGTTAATTGATATAGATTATGCACAAAAATATATACATTTCTATTTATGACAGATAAGAAAAAAAAACAATATTCATCATGAATTAGCCTGCGGAACACTCTTTCAATTTTTCTAAATATTTTCAGATTTTTGATCATCTAATCATAGACATTGCCCATCTGTTCCATGTACACGTGTATGTGGATAAGCCTGATGTTTACCTGTTCCTTTTCAGTTGGTGGAGCACTATTATCAGGAGTCTGTGGAATGCTCTCAACATCTGAATCCTTAAAGAAATTAAGGAAGATCAAGAGTGTTTGTTATAAAAGGATCTCCCATGATTTTTCAGTTTATAAATTGGATTTTTATTCAATGAGTTTCTTTTTTTTTATCTCCAAGCCACTGAATTGCATATAGTGATCGAGGGGATAAAAACACTCAATGAGTAATGTGGATGAAAATCAAATCTAACCAAATATTAACCATGAGAGCCCATCACATATTTTAAACATAGCTGTTTTACACTGTTTACATATATAAAATATAAATCTACTTTTTAAATTATTTGACTCCACAACATTTATTATGTGTATGAAAAAAATGTGAAGCCACAGCTGTAGATGTGAAAATGATATATCATATATGTACATCATGTGTGACCATTATTCACTGAAAAAATTAAAGAAGTAAATAATTTATTCAGGTTTTTTTTTTTACTTCTCAAAGATTTGAAAAACTTCTGCAAAGCACTGAATTATGTTTTCATTTCTTTCCATTCTGTACGTCACATTTGAGATGCAGGAAATGTGATAAAGATTTAATCAAAATGATCAAAGTTTCTGTAAAACAGTTTTTTTTTAAAGCTCATCCAGTATGTGTTTCATCAGAAAAATCAGTACAATCAATGCTTTTTTCTTTCTTTATAAATTCTATAAATATTTTTGAATGTAATTTTTACATATTTTCCCTAAATGGACTAAAAAAAAAATTTAAAGCCCATGTTACCTATTTGTCCTTTCTTTTTTTATGTCTTTTTATTCATGACAGAAAATGAAAGAAGTTTACAAAATGTGTTTACCTTGACCCTGGCATTAGAGTCACTAGCCATTTCCTCTCCTTTATTGGTTTTATTAGGAGTTGGATGACTATTTTTCAATACATCCTGAAATTAGAATTGATTACATAAATCACTATATATAGGCACAGATCTGTTCAACATTAACTTCCTTTATCCTATGAGATGATCTTAGTTTGTAAAAAAAAAAAAAAAAAAAAAAAAAAAAAAAAAAAACATATGTTCAAGAGCAAAGACCAGTTGTCATGAAGCAAAACTGAGCCTCAATTGACATCCTCTGATCACAATCAAATATTAGTATGAATCTCAACTCAAACATTTCTCTCTCAGAAAGTTATAGACCAACATACATTTTAACATTTTCTATTTGTAGCTTTACCATGTATGTTGAATCAATTTCCTTGGCCCATACTACACAAAGAGCATTCATTTAGAACTCACCTGCTGACAAACTGCTACTTTGTGTTTCTTGATCAGATCAATGTACTCTATCCAGGCTAAACTGCCATACATCACTCTGGCTTTACATCCCAGTAATAAAATTTTAGCTAAGTTTGGTTTATATTCTTTTTGTTCATCTGTAACATCTTCTTCTTTAAATGATGTTACAGGCCCGAGAGTTGAAACTCCATAAACCTTGGCAGATAGCAATTCATCAAGTTCCTTTAGAGCTTCAGTGTAATTAGGATTATCTTCATATTCTAGTAGAACTAGTTTGATGTAATCCCTTTTTGATAACATTGGTTTATCCTTTGACAGAGTAGGCTGTGAATAAATGAAAAAAAAATCACACTGCTATCACACTAAAAAGTTCTAATTATTTTTTTATTGATATTTTATTAAAATATTTCTTTATTTATCAGATTGCACACAAAAAAACTACAGAAATCAACACGCTTCACACCCATTCTCAATATAAGGGTACAAATGCCTCTCTGATTTTTTAAAAAATGAAGTTCAAGATAACAATTTTTCCATCAATTACCTTTGAAAGAAAGTATCTGAAGATTTTGTTTCCAGATTTTTTTCATCAAATTATAATACATGAAATATTGACAAGACGATAAAGTAGAGGGTAATTTTATTTAGAAATGTAGCTTGAAATGTACGTTACTCTTTCTTCAATGTCCAAAAAAATATGTCAAAAAAAATGTAGTCATTAAAATCACAATTGGAATATATCATCTTAACACCAGCACATCCTACCAACTCTGTCAGCAACATATTTTCTCGGTATACGAACGTGCGTTTTATTTTTCCTTTCAAAAAACAAAGGTTACTTTTTGTTCCAGATGTGTAAAAACATTTTTTTAATATATGCTTTAAATTCTTCTCTCTGTTTTGTTTAGAGCGATCAGTTTGGAATCTTGTCATTTTCTATAGATACTGGAACCTAATGTGTACATGTAGTAAAATTCTATTTTGTAGTTACTGTCTTTTTTAATATATCCATGCCGATTTAGAAAACTATGTAAATGTTTTCAAGATATATTTCTGTTTAATAATCAAAGTACTGAAAGTACTGAAAAGCGGTTAGCATGCTTTCATCTAATATGTACCGAAAAAAGTGCACGAAATGATGATATTTAAGTATGCATATCTTTGTCCAATGTCATCAGAGAAAAAATAACAGGCATTCTGTTTTTGTAATACTTTACTTAATAGTAAAACCAATAACATTCCAAACTGATGTCACAGATGGATGCAATCTAATTAAAATTAGATGTTCCGAATCCGCTACTGCTTCTCAAACATCTAACAACATCATATTTGGGGTCATGTAAGAGTGAATCTTCGATTAGCCAAAGAAAACGGTTCCTCCGAAATCTTGGCTTATAGTTCAGATGGGTTTCTTGTTTTCACCACCGAACCAAAACACCCGAGGAGTTTTGTAGTAAACAAAATATGCATTGCATAAGCTGTGTTATGTATGACGTGTAGGTATCTTCTATAGTTTGTGCTCTTTCGTTTGCATTATTCACGTGCAGATGCCAGACTGCAGACTATACATGAAATTGATTCCAAAATTACTTTACTTCAACGTACGACACTATCAATAATGATGATATGTAGCCGTGGAATTAATTTGAGAATTGTTTACCGAGGCTTGAATCTACATGGCCAAAGTTTTTGTGTTTACTAGTACATGTGTTCATAATCGAAAGGTCGCTCTGATGTGACCCCGAATGGGATGTTAGATGTTTGAGAAGCAGTAGCGGATTTGGAACATTTAAATAAATTTTGATTAGATTGAAATGCAAGTTTCAAAATTTAAACATGAGATTTCTTCAGTTTGAAAGACAGGAAGTGCATTTTTAAAAGTTCTCTTTGGTGGCATCCTAATATATGTTGATGTTGAAAATTTAATTGTCTTTCACGCTCTATTGAATCTGAAGTTGGTAATTGTAAAGCATAATATAGCAAACAACTAAATAAATGACAAATTAAATTCTTTAGAATAATGGATTTGGAGTAGTGTAGATCTACAGCTGGCTAGTAAGAGAAAAACGGATGACTGAGCAGAGACTTTGTAAATGAATTGATATCAAAGAACTCCAGTTGTGTAGGCTCATCGCGGGTATAACCTGTCAACGAGGGATGCTTACTTCTTCTAGGCAACGGATCCCACATCTTGAACTTTCAGGAGTCAGCTTTTCTTCTTAACTCGATCATTGATCATTTTGTATTTTTATACAGATACTGAATACTTCCGTTTAGTAATATTATGAACTACTACTTCTACGGGAAGACTGGCGAGTAAACAAGATTATCAAGCTTTATGAAATGAAATGTACTTTATTGACTTTTCAAACAAGTAAATGTTCGAATAAAGTAAATGGTATATGAGAATCATTTAAAAGAAGTCTTGCACAATATGTCTAGATAAGGACAAATAATGTGTATTTGCCATATACTCTTCATGCAATATTGCTCTCAAATAAAACATGTGAAAAGGAAAGTTGTCAAAAATGCTAGTATTTAAAAATTCAAATGTACACTTAAAGTCAGTGTAACTTAAGAAGTTATCAGTGTCACTTTCTTCAATAAAAACAATATAGTGTGTTTTACATGAAAATTCGTGCGAAATTCACTGATTTCTTTTCTATCAATGTGCCTCTAAACACCTGTATCTTAATTTAATTCTTCTCAAACGCTCGAAATAATGATCGACAAATTGGACAAATTCAAATTTAAAAAGTATTTTCACAGCTAATAATACGTTCCCTAGGAATTGATCAAATTTTCAAAACTTATAAATAAACATTAAGTATAAATTTTAAATTTTTGCTAATTGCCAAGATTTTTCATACCTCATTCTTCTGTGAATAATAATATCGGTTGATTTTTAGAAGATGATTAAAATTAATATATATTTATCCATTTTTTTTTCAAAATTAATTTAATACTTTAAGTGCCCCATTATTTTTTTCAAAACTAAAAGTAAGTGATCCCTTATGGTCGTTTGTACATGTAATAAATTATCAAAGACGGAGCAGAGAATTTACCCCTGGGAGCTGAGCTTTTATAACTGTTTATCAGACAGAGAAGAAAGAGACAGACGTTTCATTGTGGAGGCAATCCTATTGATTCCATAAAAACGTTACAAAAAGTGTTAAACTTGCAGATGTATTCGGTGTTTTTATAAAAACGTTTTTCAGGTATGACTTGACTTAATAAAAGGTGTTTCTTAATACTTTGGCAAGGAAAATCAAACTCGATCGAGAGATTTGCTGATGTTTTTGCAGTCTGTAATAACCTTCAACCTGCTGTATAATTAACCGCATCGTTCAAGTTTCAAAAATAAACTAACAGTTGCTATAAATCGCGATCGCACGATGTATAGTAATAAGGACGAAATTCTCAGTTCTCTGAAGTTAGTGTTCTAAGTATTGTCAATGCTTTGGTAAATACTAATAAGAATTCGATATAATCGTTATAATAGCCACTCTTCGTACACAGCATATAGTCAATCTTTCACCAGGGGGCGTATTACGCCAACAGTATACAAATAGGAAGCGCTTTGCCAAAGTTACCGTTGTCGATAGGTAGCGCCTTGTGGAAGTTTCCGGTTTTGGTTGCAGAAGGATAAGGTTACGTGCGATGAAGCGATGTCGATAGGTAGCGCCTTAAGGAAGTTTCCGGTTTTTTGGAGCCCATGCCATAAAGCGGTTAGCTAGCTAACCGCTTAAAAAGCTTAAAATTCATCTAAAAATTCATCGTTTTGTTTCAGTTTATTCCAAAAAAGATTGTCTATGTAATCACATTGTGTTATATGTCACAATCACCACTATAAAGACACGATTGCCTCAGAATATGAGTAGGTAACGTACATTTCAAGCTTGTAATAATATGTAAATTAGTAATAAGAAAATATTGAAAAAAAGCAATTATTGACATAAAAATCATATCAATGAAGCGTTTTAAGGCAGTAATATAAGAAATCATAATGTAACAAACGAGCTTATTGTCATCAACTACAAGAATGTCACGTCACTTCGGTAACGTTCATTTCACATATTATTGGGGAGTCCCCTCCACCTCAGTTCATAACCATTCTTTTGTGCTGTTTCGCTGAAATTGACACCGGTCGTAGCCTAGTTACTTCTAACTGTGTGCAAGGTTACAGACAAAAAAATATAAGAGTCAGATGTATTTTGCTATGATCTAACAAATGTTCGTGTTTGGCCATTGAAACTTAACATAAATCTAATCCGAATATATCCATCGACAGTCTTGTTAACAATTTCATTTAGTATGTTGCAACATCGTTTTTCAAAACACAAACATACGTGCTTTTCAGCAGATCTGGAAAAATATAACCCAAAATGCAATGATTCAAACAAAACTGAGTATTCAGTATTTGAAATGTACGTGACCGTCTTGTGTTCTGGGTTTATTTGTTTTGTTTCTTTTTCTTTTCTTTTTTGTTTTGTTTTGTTTTTTTTTAACAATTATAAGCCTATGCATACTTGTTTTAAATTATCAACAACAATTCAATTAATATTGACGAAAAGTCGCACATGAAAAGTAAACAAACTGCAAAAAGGTTGCCAAAGATGAATTTAAGACACTTAGAAATAAATTTTCTAGCATGTGGTAACAGTTTAAAACATTTACGAGGATTGGGGTGCATTTAGATGTGGCCAGTTGTCAAATGGATTGTAACGATAATTTTGTTTCGCTCGTGTAAACGCAATTCATTGACTAAATTAAAAAAATGTCAGTTAGAAATACATAAAATGTATGTTACCATACGTAACGTACATTTCAAATATAAAAATCAATTCTCTTCCACAAGCATACGTTAGACGCGCAATATATTGATACTATTTGAACCTGCATATCATAAGAAATGCATCATACAGGTTTCGTATTCAGAAATATATACCAGGTATCAAAATTATATTACATAATAATTGACCTTAATATATTTTTTTCCTCAGCAGAGACGTTTCTTTTCATTAATTTTGGGATTTAGCCGACCTCCAACCTTTGAAACGTTCCTTTGTGTACACATTCAAGTGTGTGAAAGTATGAGAATACATGAAAATTCGTGCGAAATTCACTTAATTCGAATTTCATGGTAACGTACATTTCAGTCACGTACATTTCAAATGATCACTTTTCATGTAAAAAATAATTTTTAATTGTGTTAAGCAAAACGTCTTTGCCAGTTTACAGGATACAAGGGGTTGCTTATTCAGAGTCGTCTCATATTTTCTACTTAATATGTATTCTTAATGGAAGAATATAGGTAACGTACATTTCTTTCTTATCTCTACGATTGAAAATGTCTTTCATTCCGTAAACATATTTATAAAAGTTGCTCAAGTTGTTCAATTTCATGTTACATTATCTAAGTAGGAGTAATTAATCCTTTGAAATTTCAAATTTAGCCCATCAATAAATAAAGGAGAACAAAACTATCAGGTGTATAATCTTCGTGTTTGCTTGTAATGTGGTTGAAATAGAATTAAGCGACAGGGACATTGCACAATAAAGATTATTTATTATCACAAAGAAAATGTATTTATTGTTATGAAAAGAAATATATATGATACAAGGTTTAACTTATCAGAAAATTTTTACTTGAGAATCAAAACTATATATTACACAGAGGGGATTCAGAATAATGTTTGCCTCGGCGACAGTAACGTACATTTCAAATAGGCTACTATATTTGAATTTGGAACTCCTTAAATACCCTTTCAGATCGATAATTATATGAATTCTTATTCATTGTTATATGACTATTTATAATGTTGATTTAAAAATTACATCAGTGGTATTTCTTTTAAATGAAAATGAGGCGACATCATTTGAGCCCTTATATTGAGAATGGGTGTTCATAGAAAACAACCGATATCACCGTTCATTCATCTATGTAATAGACGTACACTATTTGCCCCCGTTTTTTAAAATACTTTTCAACAAAACTGTGTGAACCACAGGGGCTTGTCAGGAAATAGTTATCTTCTTTTAATATAGTTACCCCTACTATAAAAAATACATATGTATTTTTATAGTGGGGGGTAACTATATTAATTAAGAGAAGATAACGCTGCATGTATACAAACTATACATACCTAAGTGATCCATGGTCCTATGATAACTTTATAAAATAAATCAAATTGGCAATAAACAAGAACGAACGAAGTCAGCTTAATTGATATCGGGGAGAGAAGAATGGAATTTTCATAAAAAAAAAATAAACATACCGCTGGGACTGTCTTTCCAGCCATGACCGACCAATTTGAAGAACAAAACGAAAGTAGAAATCCCCTTTGTAAGGTACGGCAGCCAATTCGGACCTTTTTCTTCTTGTCAGCCTGTTAGAATGAATTTCAGGATTTTTAAGGATAAATAACACATTCACAAACAAACTTTTTTCAGATATAAGCAATACAGTGGAGTCGCCAATTCCGGGTCCTCCTATTCCGGGTCACTTGTGTGCATTTTATGCCATATTGTTAAAATTTAAGTGCAAAAAAAACTTAATGAATACGCTGATCGCAAAGAATTGGTCTGTCTATATCTGTAATTAATTACAAAATTTTGAATATCAACTTTAATAAGAGAGCATCCGACAATCGAAATTCTGAAACGCACGCTTTGAATACAGGGATGTTTCTGTATTTCTCAGAGATTTACAAATAAGTAATTTGAATAATGTTTATTCAGTATAGTGGGACTATAAGGTTTTGTCATAAGGTTAAAAACAAGCTAATTCAGAGAATTCGTGTCCCCCGCTGAGGGAAAAAGTCGCCCCCCCCCCCTGACTGAATTTGTAGAATTATTAAATGTTTACATGTATACTGAAGCAAATAAAATACATGTATGTCAATATGCATAAAAAGATTTGATTGCGAAGATTTTTTTATATGGAATTTTTATCACACTGTAATGATGATTTTTTTAACCTCATTACTTTTTCATTTCACATGCTGAATACTTTCATTTAGTAAAAAAAAAGTATTTATAAAAAAAAAAAAGGTTCGACCAAGATTCGATCCCGGGACCTCTCACATTTTAAGCGAGAGACAGAACCACTATACCATGGAATCGCTTTATACGGTATGAAGTATATGCAGAATTGAAGTCACATATATGTTTTCATGTTCGTTATTCTCAAAATTTTACACAATCCATGGTGTTTGATTTATTTAGCCTTTATTAAACAGTTCTAATAGAACAGTTCTAATAGATGTAATAAGAACATAAAGTCCGCCGAAAACCTGTTTTATACGCAGTAACTCTCCTCATGCCCATGCGCTAAAAATAGCGACAGGTAATACTATATACAAGAGGCCCATGGCCAACATCGCTCACCTGAAGCTTTGACCATTCTGTTCATTACCAGATTTTCCCCTTGTTATACATAATGCATCCCCACCCTACCCCTAAGATCATAATTTACACATTTTGAAATCTACACTACCCCATGATCCTTCCATGGGCACATATGTTTCAGCTTTTCTGGCCCAGTGGTTCTTGAGAAGAAGATTTTCAAAGATTTTTCCTATATATTTCTATGTAAAACTTTGATACCCCATTGTGGCCCCGCCCTTCCCCCGGGGGTCATGATTTGAACAATTTACAATCTACACTACACCAGGATGCTTCCACATAAGCTTCCCTTTTTCTGGCCCAATGGTTCTTGAGAAGAAGATTTTCAAAGATTTTTCCTATATATTTCTATATAAAACTTTGATTCCCCATTGTGGCCCCGCCCTTCCCCCTGGGGGTCATTATTTGAACAATTTAGAATCTACATTATACCAGGATGCTTCCACATAAGTTTCAGCTTTTCTGGCCCAGTGGTTCCTGATAAGAAGATTTTCAAAGATTTTTCCTATATATTTCTATGTAAAACTTTGATTCCCTATTATGGCCCCGCCCTTCCCCTGGGGGTCATGATTCCTAAAATTTAGAACATAAGTTTCAGCTTTTCTGGCCCAGTGGTTCTTGAGAAGAAGATTTTCAAAGATTTTTCCTATATATTTCTATATAAAACTTTGATTCCCCATTGTGGCCCCGCCCTTCCCCCGGGGGGCATTATTTGAACAATTTAGAATCTACATTATACCAGGATGCTTCCACATAAGTTTCAGTTTTCCTGGCCCAGTGGTTCTTGAGAAGAAGATTTTCAAAGATTTTTCCTATTAAAAACTTTGATTCCCTATTGTGGCCCCGCCCTTCCCCCTGGGGTCATTATTTGAACAATTTAGAATCTACATTATACCAGGATGCTTCCACATAAGCTTCCCTTTTTCTGGCCCAGTGGTTCTTGAGAAGAAGATTTTCAAAGATTTTTCCTATATATTTCTATATAAAACTTTGATTCCCCATTGTGGCCCCGCCCTTCCCCCGGGGGTCATGATTTGAACAATTTAGAATCTACATTATACCAGGATGCTTCCACATAAGTTTCAGCTTTTCTGGCCTAGTGATTCTTGAGAAGAAGATTTTCAAAGATTTTTCCTATATATTTCTATGTAAAACTTTGATTCCCCATTGTGGCCCCGCCCTTCCCCCGGGGGTCATGATTTGAACAATTTAGAATCTACATTATACCAGGATGCTTCCACATAAGTTTCAGCTTTTCTGGCCCAGTGGTTCTTGAGAAGAAGATTTTCAAAGATTTTTCCTATATATTTCTATATAAAACTTTGATTCCCCATTGTGGCCCCGCCCTTCCCCCGGGGGTCATGATTTGAACAATTTAGAATCTACATTAAACCAGGATGCTTCCACATAACTTTTAGCTTTTCTGGCCCAGTGGTTCTTGAGAAGAAGATTTTCAAAGATTTTTCCTATATATTTCTATATAAAACTTTGATTCCCCATTGTGGCCCCGCCCTTCCCCCGGGGGTCATGATTTGAACAATTTAGAATCTACATTATACCAGGATGCTTCCACATAAGTTTCAGCTTTTCTGGCCCAGTGGTTCTTGAGAAGAAGATTTTCAAAGATTTTTCCTATATATTTCTATATAAAACTTTGATTCCCCATTGTGGCCCCGCCCTTCCCCCGGGGGTCATGATTTGAACAATTTAGAATCTACATTATACCAGGATGCTTCCACATAACTTTCAGCTTTTCTGGCATAGTGATTCTTGAGAAGAAGATTTTCAAAGATTTTTCCTATATATTTTTATATAAAACTTTGATTCCCCATTGTGGCCCCGCCCTTCCCCCGGGGGGCATTAGTTGAACAATTTAGAATCTACATTATACCAGGATGCTTCCACATAATTTTCAGCTTTTCTTGCCCAGTGGTTCTTGAGAAGAAGATTTTCAAAGATTTTTCCTATATATATTTCTATATAAAACTTTGATTCCCCATTGTGGCCCCTCCCTTCCCCCGGGGGTCATGATTTGAACAATTTAGAATCTACATTATACCAGGATGCTTCCACATAAGTTTCAGCTTTTATGGCCCAGTGGTTCTTGAGAAGAAGATTTTCAAAGATTTTTCCTATATATTTCTATATAAAACTTTGATTCCCCATTGTGGCCTCGCCCTTCCCCCGGGGGTCATGATTTGAACAATTTAGAATCTACATTATACCAGGATGCTTCCACATAAGTTTCAGCTTTTCTGGCCCAGTGATTCTTGAGAAGAAGATTTTCAAAGATTTTTCCTATATATTTCTAAATAAAACTTTGATTCCCCATTGTGGCCCCGCCCTTCCCCCGGGGGTCATGATTTGAACAATTTAGAATATACACTACCCCAGGATGCTCCCACATAAGTTTCAGCTTTACTGGCCCAGTGGTTCTTGAGAAGAAGATTTTTTAATGACCTAACCCTATTTTTGTCTTTTCTTGATTATCTCCCCTTGCGAGGGGATATGTCCCTTCATTTTAACAATTTATATTTCCCTTTACCCAAGGATGCTTTGTACCAAGTTTGGTCAAAATTGGCCCAGTGGTTCTTGAGAAGAAGTCGAAAATGTGAAAAGTTTACAGACGGACAGACAGACAGACAGACGGACAGACGGACGGACAGACAGACAGACGGACGGACGACGGACAAAATGTGATCAGAAAAGCTCACTTGAGCCTTCGGCTCAGGTGAGCTAATAAATACTAATAAAACAAACGGGGCGGGGCACTTTGAGAGGGGCGAGAGACGTCCTAGGGAGTTTTGATATAAAATTACATTGCATTAGCTCAACATCTTCTTGAAATATCGCCTGGAAATAATAGTTTTACACACAGACAGAATGTATAAATTTACGACCTTGAACTTTGACCTGTTGACCTCAAAATCAATAGGGGTCTTCATTAGGCCACAGGGAGTTGTTATATAAAATTTCATTGCAAAAGCTCAAAGGGTTCTAGAGATATCGTGTGGAAACGAAAGCGTTACAAACAGACAGAAAGACGGACGGACGGACGGACAAACCCAAATTAATATCCCCCACTTTTCAAGCGGGGGACAAAAAGTGCAAAAATTTGTATGGAATTATATGAAATCGAAAGCAACGGAAGTGCCTATTTCTAACGCTGAGAAATGTAGAGGCGTCCCGGAATTCAATTAGTTGGAAACTCTAGAAAGGTCAAAAATCGCGCCAAACTTGTTCTCTTTAGATATTTCCTTGTAATTCCGGGATCTTTTATATCATGCTTAATTAAATTAAAACAGTTCTTTTTACATTTCACACCATAACTATACCTTCTTCATCTGTGCTTGATCAACCATGGATCATGACCAATTATCACTCCCCCCTTGAACACTGATCATTCTGCTTTAACATAGGCGCTGTTTACTGACTGATAAACGGCAATGTATTTCTTAATATTTACATTTCCAATGTCTTTGTCCGAGATAAAATTACAAATTGTAAATGTACTTTATTTCCACATCAAATTATTAATTGGCCAATTTTTTTTATTTCTTGAAATCAAACTGAACACACACTATAGTGTCAGTCCGTGCAGTTGTGGTGAACAGACTTTGACGATTGAACGCACCCGGTGAATCGTTAACATCAACAATAACAGAGCTCGTGCCCTGTTTACAAAAACTGTATACATAACACAAGTGTGATCGATTTACTAGACTCTGCACACAACACTT